TTGCTATACACTTATCCTTAACATGTGGGAGTTTGCACTGCTCTGGGTAATCATGGGAGGTGAAAGATTTGGAGTTATAGGGGGGTCATGGTTTTGATATTCTACATTTACAAGTGCCTTTTAAGTTAAAACATTTTTTATAAGATTTAGTCTAAAAGCTATTTTAATACTTAATAGCATGTTTTCAGTTTTTTTTATAATCATGAATTCAATGTTGTGATGGAAATTGGGTTTAGCCTACTGAGTTATAGAGTCACTTTGTTACTTATACCATTCCTCAAGGTAAATATACTACTGGGCAGATCCAGTTCAATAGGAAGCAACGTAATTGGGTCGTTAGGTATTTATGTTGGAATTCCATGATACTTATATTTTGTTTGGCATATTTGGGATTTAGATTATTGTATATGATTATTTTGAGGACATGAATTTATGTTTTGTGCACTTTGGATGTTTATTTTATATACTTTTGACTATGGTATATTTGCACAGGTGAGATGATTAGCTTAGTAAGATAAGGAATTAGGGTTAAATTCTTCTTTAGATCTTGGAGTGTCATAATATTATCCAATAATTTTGTTTCCAATATAACTATGTGTTTGTTACCTTTTATATAAGCCTGTTTTAACATCAACTAATTTACATGATTTTAAGTTTTTATGAAGGAATATGAAAATGTGTGGAGGTGCTAGTTTGAATCATGTTTGAACATAGTTTGAATGAGGATTAAATCTTGTTTGAATCTCACTTATGATGTTCAAACCTTGTTCAAGAATTTGCTTTGGAGCTAATATTTTTGCATCAAATGGTTTAACCCAAGTTAGAACTAGAGGTTTAAACTCTATTTAATAGGAATTGAGCATTAAGTCTAAATGTGGCATTTTATGCTAATTCATTTCTTTTGTCAAACCTAAGACTATATTATTTCCTTCTTCCTTTCATAACAAACAGTTAATGGCTATTTTCTAATTTTTATAACCATAAAGTATAAACACTAATATCTATTTATTTGAAGGTGCTCGTAGGGACGCTTTAAGATTATACAATGAATGATTGAAAAAGACATGTTTCAACTACTATTCCTTCGAATATTCATGCCATCAATATATATATTATACTTTATATTGCCTTTGTAAGAGTAATTTCTTTCGAAATGATTTTTCGTGTATATTTTTTCAAGAAAATAAATAATAGTGATATTTGATAGAAGCTTAAAAGACATAAAATAATAGGAAATTTTGATATTATATACTCTATAATAGTGGAAATTGGAGAAATGTGCATGCTATTTCATTGCATGAGGAAATATGCTGGAAAATTTTTTTTGGACCAAAATATCCCTGGAATTTAAAGGGAAACTTAGGTATTACATAGTGAACTTTTGAGCAAGAAGCTGCTTGACCCTTCCTATTATTAGTGCCTATCTAGTCTTCAAGGATTATCATTCATGAGTAATGATTCTATCACAAAGTTTCAAAACAAATTTTTTGTCTCAGTCACCTTTTAAAGGTTATTAATGTTAATAGATTTGGTTATATACATTTAAAATATCATTTATATAAGAAAATCTAACCCCAAAAGGGCATTAAACATCAAATCACGAGCTTCAAACATGTATCAAAATTTGTTCTAGCCTTGACCACCGCATGTTAGGGTCATTATCGAATATTCTACAAAGTTTATTCGAATGTTTTTGATAAAAATTCAAAGAAAAATCTATCGTGATTCAAAAACATTTTGATCAAGGTTCAAATAAGACTTCATCAATGTTGGAACCCTACTCAAATAAGTTTTAGCAAGGCTGGTCAAGATGCGATCAAGGTTTTAGCATAGTATGGAAAATATTAAATCAATGTTCAAATATTATTTGAATATTGTTCAAGTATGACTTGAATTTATTATTATTCACGTACTATCTCTTGTGGAATTGATTTATTTGAGTTGTTTTACTATAGATGCAGATGCTTGATCTAATCATACCTATAGAGATATTATATTACTCGAGTTTCATGTAGAGCTAGGGGTGAGAGAGAAAATTATATGACAATTTGGGGCTAATGATCTCATTGCATTAAATATTGAAGGCAATGATACAAAATATTATATTGTTGAATTTTGCAATGATTAATAATCACCTGAAACATTAGAGGGACAATTCAGTTATGTTATTATTGTAGATATAATGATTATATTCGACAATATCAAAGTTTTTATCTGTTGTGTTATAGCTGTTGTGATTATACTCACAATATTATTGTAAGAACATTATATTTATTTTGACTATTGTTGATACATCTTAAGAAATTTCACTTGATTGTCGCAAATTTTGATACGTTATTTATATTATAAACTTTTTTTAATTAAAAATAACATCTTTTGAATTTCGATTTCAGCAAACTTGTAGCAAATTAAAGATCTTTTCAAGATGAACTCGATGACACCTAAAGTGATCCTATCTAGTCCAAATGAGCTCAAATCAAGCATATGAAATAACTTGAAATTTTAGAGTATTGAGTGAAGTCCAAATGATTTATAATTTTTATATGCTTATTGACAAATCAAGTCACATTAAACGGAAGCCTTCCAATGACCCCGTTAGAAAAGTTGAGGTATTAGATTTGACTTATGTTAAGAAACGTAGAGGTAGACCTAAAAAGACTTGGTTAAAAAATATTAGAAATGATCTTTCTTTATTAGATATGAATGAGAATTTGACTTTTAATATGACACAATGGCAAAAAAGGATTCATGTAGCCGACCCCACGTAGTGGGACAAAGGCTTGATGTTGTTGTTGTTGTTGTTGTATGGTCAAATTAAGTAGCTCGATGAGATGAATTCAATATATCCCAAGCCCACTAGATTATGAAGTCAAATAACTTAATTACTAAATTTTATTTATGATCAAAGGATACAATGTGAGTTGTTATATGGAGTGTTACGAAAACTTGATTGAATTTATCAAAATGCCAATCATAAAATACTATAAAGAGACATCCATTCTCCCCATGAAGGGGAGTTGGACTTATGTTTCAAGAGAAGTTGGAGATTTAAAGTATTTTAGGTTTTAATTAATGCTAGACACCAACGATCACCGGTAGCCATTGTCCTCATTCAACTATAATCATCCGATTACCATAATTACAATAGCATTATTTGACTACTATCACCCAAACGTCATAATCCTAAACCATCATCTAACGGCTAATGCATAACTAATATCAACCCAACCATTTTGCCCAACTGTCATCTATAGTCATCATATTCGATCATTGTCACATAATTAATACCATCCAACGGCTACATCTCTAGCAATCTCCACACATTCACAAGAATACAAACATGAATCACATACTTCGTAAGCTTGTCTTCTCCAATTAATGGTAAGGTTGAACTCTTGTAACCTATATATATACTGAATCATTTCAACTGGTCGAGTTCCTGTGGTTTTTTCTCTTTTTGAGTTTTCCACTAAAAAATTATAGTGCCTATTGCATTCCTTTTTGTCATCTGCATGTGATGGATCTTTGTGAGAAACTAAAATGTAAAAATTCTCTCTATCATTATGAATTTCTAACATGTAATAATTATAATGTTTCTTATTATGATTTTATAGGTGCTATGTAATAATGTATTGCTTCTCATTGTGATATTTTTTAGCCATTAGAATATACTCTGTTGATTAATTTATAACTTATTGTATTATAGCTACTGTGAATATACTATGCTAGATTAGTATTGTTGTTGCATGTTAGAAAATTTGTGTTAGTAGATTATATATTTTATGTTTTAGCTTTGGACAAAAATTCAACACACACATAAAAAGTTGCATGATATAAAAAAAAATTACATGGAAAATCCATAAAATAAGAAAAACCATGAGAACTAGAACAATTGTATAATCTAAGATACAAGAATCTTTTCTTTGTTACATTTAAATAAGATAGTATAATTTAAAAATAAATATTTGATTTTTTTATAGGGATTATAGAAATCTTGTGTTCACATACGGACAATGAAAACTCATAACAGGGTTATATCAAGATCTTGATAGGAGTTTGGAGACGGTGATAGCGGTTGTTTGCGGTAGTCATTTGACGTGATAAGTAAAAAAAATGAAAGAGAGCTATTTTGTTATCTTAGTTCTTGAACTCTACATATTTATAGAAAATGAGGTCCTATTTATAGCATTTTTAGGATGAACATTTTGGTAAATTTAATATTATCTAAAGCGCTCAATCGTACTGGCCATATTGACCACCTTGGTCATAAATCATTTATCAAATATTTGAATACCTTAACAGTGTCAAAATTGAGTGATTTTGGGCTCGTTAGATTCGTCTCGTTGACTCACTCAATTTGACAATAAGTATGCTATAATTGAAAGTCGTTTGGTCCATCAATTTAGATTCAAAAGTTTCCAAACATAATTCAAATGTATGATTTGAATTTTATTGGAATTGAATCAAATTATACGTAGCATCGATAAGTTTGTCTTGCTGAGATATTCAATTCGACTGCAAGTTTCTCAAAAAAGAGTTTAGATGATCATGAGTTTAATTTCCAAAAGATTCAATACAAAAATATTGTTTTATATCTATCATAATTGAGTCATGTTTGAACTATGTTCAAAGCCTTATTCTAACCCAATCCGAGCCTTGTTTAACATGGTTGGACCATATTCAAACTTTGTATGAATCTTATTCAAATATTATATGAATCTTATTAAAATCCTACTTAAATTATATTTGAAACTATCTTCAAATCATAACACAATGGCTTAAATATTTTTCTCATATGATCTTTACTTTAATCATTTGTTATTTTAAAATTAATTTTAATCACATCGGAAACTCCGATAAGTACTTTAGTTTGGTAGAAGTTTTAAGCCATTCTGATATTCATTCAATTTCCCGCTATTATTAAAAAAGTCACATTTGCAAGTAAAATTTCCCGAGAACAGCACTGCTTTCTCAGGTGCAGATCCTCTGCGCGTTTTCGACCGGCATTTTCATAGCACTCGGAATACAGCGATCCCGGCATTTCGCCGGAGCTCGCTAGTCACCAACCATGACGATCGAACTCAAGCTCTCACGATCAAACCGTGTCTATTGCCTTGGTGTAAGCCCTAGTCGCCTTCCTCCCCTGAACCTGTCAACTCCATTTCTCCGAAACTTTAGACTTCTCGCTGTCTTTGCTCTCGCTTCTATCTAATGCAACAAGACCTTTAATATCTCCCAGGAAACAGTCGAAGGGAAGATTAAAACAATCTTTGCTTCCCCAGTTTCTTATCAGAAAATTATTATCTCCTTAACCGGAACCGTCAATTTACAGGTACATCGATTTTTGTTGATCAGATGACAAGCCTTTCCTGTCAATTCTCTTGTTTTTTTAAGAGGCAAAACCTTTCCTGTTAATTTTTTTTTTTTTTTTTTTTTTTTTTTTTTGGGTTTGAAACTGATCAATTTGCTCGCTCGATGGAAAGGTTAAAGGAGGAGTGACTGGAGTGATCGAGTCCTTGTACGGCGTGGTGAAGCCTATATGCATCATGTGAGTTCCAAAATCCTTTGGTCTTTGATCTGGCATTCATGTTTCTTGAGTCGATTCAGTTTTCTTGAATTGAGTTGACAACCTATCACAACTTATAATGGCCCGCTTGGTTGAAGTTAGGGTTGAGTAAATTTGGGTTTGATAAATCCTATTCAAACAGTTTTTCATACGATTTAGTAAATTTTAATGGCCAACCTGTTTGGTTGATAAATTCTTAAATCAAATCAAAGATCTAAAATGTTTCGTTGCAGTTTGGAATATTTGGGGATTACAGAGATTTATTAAATCCAACTAAACTAAACCTTTTAAATCCCAAACTTATTAGGATTGGATCAGTCCTGAATTTAAGTTAAGGCTTATTAGTTCATCCTAAATTCAAGATTTACTTTAGATGGCATTTAGAAGTCCCTTATGTAACATTTGGGAAGATTAGGCCAATCTAGCTTAAATTCTATTTAAAACTAACAATCAAGAAGATTTAATTTGCTTGCAGGATTTACCAAACTGATTTAAATCTCCAAATCCTCCAAAATACAACCAAATTGTCTAAAGATTTGGTTGGATTAAGAATTGAGCAACCAAATAGATCTATCATTATGATTTATTAAAACCTGATAAGCTATTTTTTTATTCTCTTTACAGTTGGATTATGCCAAAAAATAAAGCAATCATAACTGGTTTTCAGTTCTAATGTTCTCTTCTATTTCATCAGTAGTGCATTTATGGTGTATTAGTTAGCTAATACCATCAGATTGTAGTTGGTGCTGAGTGTTTTTCTTTCTCGATTTTGAAGAGACCAAATACAATCATTTGCATGCTAAGTTAGATGATGTGCCTATTTGTATCATCCAAACTATAATGTTAATAGAAGGCTATTTGTTGGCATGATAAGGAAACTAGGGTTTGGAGTTGGATTTTGCAAATTGATGCAACACAGGATAAATAAATGCTTATTCTTCAATGTCCGTGTTGGAATCTATATATTGGTAGGCGACCAATTGATTTTTGCTCAACTAATGTATGCAATGCATTTTCGTTAGTAACTTGAGATTAGAATAATTAGGTCATAATTTTGATATGGTTTCTAAGAAGGAATTTGTCTAACTGAGTTTTTAATTTTCTATTTTTTATTTTTACCATTCGAATTCATGCAAAATACACAAACATGCTTATTGTTATTGTTATTTTTTAAAAAGCATAATATTATAACCAGAAAATGATATGAGTACAGTAGGAGCAATTACAAAGAATTGCCTCAGAAAAAAGTGAGTACCAGGTATGCAACATCAAATGCGTTATGAAAACTAAAAAAAAATCATTTGGCTTATCTTGCTTTAAGCCTTGTGAATGCAAGGAGTGATAGAGTTTTTTTTTTCCCGATTCCTACTCCGTTTGATAAATTGGATTTGGTTCTTAATGACCAGAATTTTGATTCTTTAAATGCTTGTATTTAAATCATAAGGCTATTGAGAATCATGAACATTGCTAAATTTGCTAATTGGAGGGAATTGATGTGTTCCAGTACTAAGAGGATTAGTATCGATGTTAATACCAAGCGATGATGAGGTACCTATCTTTTTAGGGCAAGGAAGAGTAGTAATAATTGTCTTTAGGCCAGAGGGAGAGATTAAAACTAATTTCAAATGTTGAGTGCAAACCTAATATCATTGAGTATCATCCACCAACAAAGTAGAAGGCCAAATTTTGAGTGCAGAACTGATAGTATTTGGTTGTGTCTCTTGCGATTGATAGTTAGATTTTCTCAACTTCGGATGAGCTTTGAAAAATCTGATAATTTATGTTAAAAAGTTTTGCATGAAGACAATAGGATGAGATGCTTTCAAATTTGGCTTGCTAACAAAAGTCTGAAGGCAAGGTGCCAATCCATACCTCATTTTTAAAATGAGATGTAACATCCAATTCCTCCAAAACTTTAGCCATGGCAGGTCTACAAATATCGGTAGTAGCCACATTCACTTGTAATGATTTTTCAAATATAGAATCCAAGGAATATAAAGTGGATTGTTTGAAGTAATGTAGTCAAAGTGATATTAGAGTTCCTTAAAAGGAGTCAAAGTGGTGAGATCACTTAGCATACACATTGTATAAGTATTGACATAGTATGAGTGACAAGAGAAAAAATTTGATGTAATTTGCTTCTGAAGACAAAGGCCAATAGAATAGCCGCTTACGAAATGTAATTTAGACATTAATTTGCGAATTATATCTAGGTTATGTCGACTTAAAGAGAATTCACCAACAATCGAAAAAGAATGTGAACTAGCATATGCAGAGATCTAACCACTGAAGATGAGAGCAGGTTCCCCTAGGTATGTAGAAGGCCATTTTCTTATATTTTTGTTGTATATTGGTTAAAAAAATGAAAAATGATTTGATGAAGAAGAATGTAAGCTTGAAACTTTCAATCCACCAATCACATTAATGAAGGAATAACGGGTGGGTGATTGGCTACAATCCCTAAAGGAGAGGAATGTTAGAATTCATAGAATTTGAGAAGGGTAAAAATACCTTCTAATTATTATACAAAATTATCTCTATTTATAGATCTATACAATATGTCTTAATAAAGAAATAAATAACTTCTAATTGATACATAATTGCCTCAATATAATCCTTCCTAATTCAGCTATCCAAATATAGAAGGATATTGGCGTGATCCAGGTGAGCCTCCCACGGATTCTCATCCTGACCGTGGGATCAAATACAAAGGGATGACTGAGATTTTGACAAGGAAGGAGGAGGAGCCTTAGTATAGCAAGAAGGCATCAATGTAGGAGGTGGCGATGGGGATCAACTATAACCCTAGGTGCAATCAATGTATAAGAAGGCGGAGTCATATTAAGGAGTGATGGGAGGGCCTACTTGTGATACCCAAAATGGACGAGGCATAAGTGGCAAGGATTTAGAATGAGGAAAATGGAAAATAATCCGGAGGGGAGAACATTAATTTACAAGGGAGAGAAGATATGATCAGAGCCCCACCCAACCAAGATACACTTAGGAAAAGATGTGGTAGAGCCAAAGTCCCGCACGCACATTGGTACATGGCGAGCTAAATGCAAGCAACCTGTGAATGCAGGTGGATGCATAGAGTTTAAGTACGCCAAGCTACACACGATGAGACCGCTCCACAAGCACGAGCGTTGGGTGAGACCTACCGCACAACTAGAAAATTGAGACTTGCATGAGAGCACTGGGCGAGATGTGTGAAGAAGTTATGGTGCGGCGAGTCGATGTTAAGGGTTTAACTTCGAGGCTTGCTAATTTTTTTTAGGCTTGCTAATTATTTGAAGATATGTTTTCACGAAACTAGGTTATTGAATCAACCATACATGAGTAGCATTTTCAAAGAATTATGCTATTTTGTAAAATTTGGTGATGATGATGAATGCATTGAACATGTTGCTGTTTGATTTTATTCTCAAGAATTCAAGTTATTTGCTATGTTGAAACTTTGTTTATATCATGTCAACAACATTTTTATGGCATAAATAGCATCTAATTGTGCAGGTGGGCAATATATATCTCTATTTTAAAATGATAGATGTAAATGTGAAAGTTTTCTCAACGAAGTAAATTTTTATGATTGAATGTTCGAGGTCTAGCTCTTTAAGTCATTGTCTCCTATCTGCTGAACAGTAAGAAGAGTATGGAGCTTGCAACATCAGCTGGAAAATTAGGTCCTGGCAGGACAGAGGTATTCCGTTAAATTTTATGGTGCTGCAAGTATGCTACATAAAATCCTTCTTGGAAAATTTGAATTTTCTATTGATGTTTATTTTATTTTGTATCTAATTTAGGTGTATGTCAATTGATGGTATTTGAATGTTTCTTTGACCTTTTATATCAGGCCATAACCTTTATCTGTTAAGTTTTGTCTTCTATACTTGAGTGATTTTGACATGACCATCTAATATTGCTCTCTTCTTATTGCTGTAATTACTATTGTCTAGTTGAATAAAAAATAATTTAGATAAGAATGGAAATGTCGGTGCTAAATGCACTTCCATTGAATGAGCCTTTTGAACTGCTTATAAATGCATTGTCGCTCAACAACTCTTAAAGAGGTTTGCATAGCATTGGTGATTTTTTATTTTTTTTAGAAAGAATGAAACAGGTTGGTTCAAAAAAATAATACCAATCATAGTCTTGATTTTTATGGTTTCTGCATGGTTAGAAAAAAAATCCCCGATTTCTATTGTTATTGTTGGCCAGAGATCCTTCCTCTTCATTCCCCTTGTTTAATTTTGTTAATTTTCAGAGACCGAAAAAGGATGATTGAAATCACTGAATCTTAAATAAGATGAATCATACAAATCATTTTTGAAGGAACTGATGAAAGAAGTTCCTGTGTAGCAATTTACTTCCAGAGCTTCATTGGAATAATTTCTTTGTTCATCCAAAAGGGATTTTGGCTTCAATTGCTTTGAAGTTATTATCATGCTTCAACGTATTTTGATTTCTTTAAAATGTCCTCTTTTTTAACCAATCTTTTTTGCATTTCTGTTGCAAAATTGTTCAGATAAATTTTTCGTTTTCTTTGAGCTCAGAGAAGAAAAGTGGTTATGACATGTTTTATGAGACATTCCATGGCGGAAATATCAGCATCCAGGTAAAGTTTCTGAGTATTGCATTTATCTTCTTTGAACTCCACAGTTCTGACTTATGCTTTCAGCATCTTTTAAAATGTGGTTTTACCATTCATTGATCAATGCCCAGTTTTTTTGGATAGTAGTATCTGATCAGTGCAGATGTGACTAGAGGCTATCTACATAAGGCCCTCTCCGCTACCTTGGAGCTAATTGTTGAACATGACAAAGGTGAATTTCTGCATCCTCCTTTTTTTTTGCCTCTTCCCTTTATTTTTATGATCAGCAATGTCAAGTTTAATATTCTTGCTATTCACAGCCAGTCTCATCCAAGCTCCTATTTCACCTGAGCTCACCAGCTTTTTCATCACTCAAGACACTCAGAAACATCAATTACTTCCTGAATTGTCATCAGGTCCTCTTTGTCCTTCATGCCATTTTCATGCTATATATAAGCCTATTATGCAAATATAAGTTCTTAATATTCTTGCTATTCAAAAAAAAAATTAAAAGTTGAAAAAATTAGTGATGATAGAAAGCTTCAAAGAGTAATTTATTATAAAACCTTTTATCAAAATAGCATCTCCAGCAACCACTATGATCCAATGACATTCATTATAAGTGATTTTATTTATCGTAGTATTTTTAGCCACACAAATATTATTTAAATCAATATTGAGGGTATGTACATTATATGATGTCCAAAAGATGTGAGAATATGTTTGCTGACAAATAATCCTTTTGCCCTACAAACTAGAGCATTATTTTAATACCTTGAATAATATTTGAAGGGTCAACCATCATGATCACTTCTTTAATAAAAGTGGAAATGAAGAACTTATATTTATGTTGCCTTTCTCAATTTATCATTTTAATAAACATTAGGTAGTTCTTTAATATTGCCATAAATTTGATAAAGTGGTTTCTTTGAGTTTTAGTCAAACTATCACACAACAAACTCACTCCTTTCTCTTTCCATACTCTTTTTGTAGGCTCAAGCAACTTCTTAATATTAGACCTTTCTCTTTGCTATAACTTTAATTTAATGACATTATACCTAGTGACATAGAGCTTGCAAGATTGTTATTATAGACAAAAATAAATGCATTCGAATGAGAAGGATTTCTTTCAAGGTTAAAAGGAACGTCAGCTGAGAAAATTACAAACAAATGTTCTCTGCTACTTTTTTCTTATCTTTTCCTTTACGCTCATTATTTTTTCTCTCTTGAAGTACCAAATTTTCAATCAAAGATTTATATTGGGAGAAATGTTTCTTATGCTATTTTGAAAATGAAAAGAATAAACAGAAGTTCCTCATGTGGACAGAAATGTCTCTTACCGTCGATGCGCTATGGATTGTGAGAGAAAGGTGTCTTAATTTTGAAACCTAATTGTGAGTTTTAGCCTTAAGAGAGGAGATGATAGTGCTGCTGAGAATCAATTGTCATTGTTGTGTATCGGGCATAGGGTATTGATGTTGAGAGGGGATAGGCTGTCAAAGTTGAGACGATGCTGAATATCGTTATTGAGATTTGGAGATGTTAAGATGACCCAGCAGTGGGATTGTGATTGTAGAAATTGCCGACATTGGCGTGGATGTCGAGACTCCATCAAATGTCGATGGTGAGCCATTGTCAAGTGTCGAAGTTAAACCCTAGCCATGAGAGAAATAGGACGTGGGCGAGTGCTTCGTCGCTTTTGTGAGAGGAATTGAAGTAAATAGTTTTTAATTTTTTTAGTCAGTAAAAAATTGAAAAATAAGAAATTATAATTAAAAATAAATTTTTTAATAAAATCTTTAGAGCACTGCTATATGATTTTTTTAATATTTTTTTATTGAACACATCTTTGCCATGTTTGATATATGCCAGAGATATATCAAACGCATTTTTGGACAGTTGTTAGACATTACATACATCTTTATGGAATGTAGGTGCATCATAGACGACCACCATTACCTTTGCTCTTGAGTTATCGGATTTTTATTGTTATGTGACATATATTTGTAGTTCAACAAGCGGTAGGTAATATATGGTTGGCGGCTGGTGGGTGGTATCTAGCAGTGTTGTTGAGGAAAGGGAAAGGTGCTTTGTATGATAGGATATATTTCATGTGTCCATTCTTATGATCAGCTGCACCATGATATCAGCCTGTGGGTTAAGAATGATTGTAGAGTGGAGTATCACTGAGATGAAAAATAGTAGCTGTTATTCTGATAAAATGGGGTGTGGCAGGCGTTTCGATTAGTTTATAGCAGTATAGAAGAAGCCTGTGCGTTTATAGCATGCTGTATTTACTGTCATTGAAGCGTTAGATATATTAATGTTTTGCTGCTGGGCACATTTTTGTATTTTTTTTTTTTAGTTTCATTGTGACAACTGACAGCTCCTATTTCTATTTTTATAATTGTGTGACCTATGCGTAGCTCGTGCTCCGTGCACAAAAATCATAATATGCCATCATTAGCTTTTGTTTGGCAGGTCGATTTCAGGTTACAGGAAACATATCTACCCACTGTTCTTTGTCAGAACCTCTAAGCGGAGAGCTAATTGTTGAAGCATCTGCTGTTCCCATACGCTCCATTGACATACTACTTCTTCGTGTTGAGTCAATTCTTACTGGGGAGAGAATCATATCTGATACTTCGGTTGTTCAGATCACACAGGCAAGAATAGTGCCATTGATTCATAATTATCATCATCTTTCTTTATTAGATTTAAACGAGAATTTGACTTTAATAGGACACAATGGAGAAAAAGGATTCATGTAGCCGACCGCAAGTAGTGGGATAAAGGCTTGATGTTGTTGTTGTTGTTGTTGTTGTCATTTCTATGTGCGCTGCAGGAGACCACAGACTTTTCTTTTCTCAAGTCTTTTTCAAAATTCTTGATATATTGCCTTTATATGAAATTTATGTACTAATTTTCTATATTAATTCTAACTACATGTATTATTGACATTTCTGTTCTTTATTGTACTTGCTCAAAGCATATAAGTCTTGTCATTATTTTATTTTTAGTAGGTGCTATTCCTAACATCCCTTAAATATAATCTTATGCATTGAATTGTGCTTTGTAAATGATATTATGTCATTTGTTCCTTTTTAGTCGCCATTACGATAGTCATCATTTATCAAAGCTACCTTTTCTTGTTTAGGTGGTTTTATCTTAAAAGATAATTGATAATTTCCTGCACTTTGCCGTCAACCTTAGTTTTTCTCTTTTGTATTCACAAGACATTTTTGTTCAAATAAATATGGAAAATCTCTTAGAAGCTTTAAATGGCCAATCCCAAGTTCAAATGGGAAAGATTGATGGTTGAGGTTAGGTCAACAACCAATTATAACACTTGAACGAAATGAATTAATATTTTAATTTTATTGGTATTAGCACATTTACTAGAAGTGATGTCTCACTTGCCCAATTGGTGAAGAATTAAGCAAGCATTTGCTAGGAAGTTACCCCATATGACGTGCTACAGCTTAACTCGATTGTGGTGAGGAGAAGACAATGTTTGGCTAGGATGCTATATGTAGGTCATACGAGACGAATCCAACGAGCCCAAGATCGCCGAATTCCGACATCATTAAGACCTTCAAATGTCTGACGAACGGTGCACGATCAAGGGGTTCAATATCGGCCGTCCATTCGACCACTCGCTATTTACCCCTGATCTCACACCTATTTACAAGCTATACCACTCCAGAAGATCTATAAATAGACCCTCATTTCTCATGAGAGGGGACCCAAGCAAGAAGAAGAGAAGGATAGGAGGGAATAACTCCTCTTCGAACACCGCCAGAGTTCTGCCCGACGCCGGAATTCTGTCGGACTTCCGAACGACGCCGGAGTTCTGCCCGACGCTCAAGTGATGCTAGAGTTCTGCCCGACGCCAGAATTTTGTCCGACTTCTGAACAACGCCTGAATTCTGCCCGACGCCCAAGTGACTCCGAAGTTCTGCCTGACGCCCAAGTGACGCCAGAGTTCTGTCTGACACCAGAATTCTGCTCGATCTCCAAGTGACGTTGGAACTCTGCCTGTCGTTGTAATTGGATCTCCATCCGGAAGTGAAGCGTTGTAAATTGATCGTCCTAAATCTTAAGGACGAATCAGTCTCTTGTACTTCAAACAAATATTAGTGGAATTATTTCAACTGGGCGTGGTCCCGTGGGTTTTTCCCTTTCCAGGGTTTTCCACGTAAAAATCCTGGTGTTTCTATTTCTTTTCTGTTTGTGTGTTAGATATCCGTACAATGCTGAGACGAAAATTTTCTAATTCTATCGCCGCGTATATTCTAGTCCGCAACAATATTATAGTTAAGATAAGAGTTAAGTCTCTCGACACATTGATCAAGTTAGATGCATTAGAAGTATTAAATTTTTTTATCAAAGATGAAGAAGTGAAGATATAAATGTTATTTTGGCAATTATTAAATCGATTTTTGGTGATGAAATTATTTTTTGCAAGAGCATAATAAATAAAAATAATGTGGTAGATTATAAATTAAACCAGAAATGTTAAGTGGAGTTAGTTCTAACGTAGATGCATGAAGGGAAAAAAAATTAATAAGATATCTTCTGGGTTTTGGAGAGTTATGGTGGATATTATAGTTTATGAAGCAGAAACATTGACATAAACATAAACACAAATGTTGCAACACAACTTAGTTATTAAAAATAGTACACGTTACGCCATCAAAATAGTGTTCTTTTTCTTACAAGTTGGTAACTAAAATAGCCAATACTAGTATTTTTAATTAAAAACATCATGCACTGAAATATAATATCATATACTTAACATAAAGAGCTTCCCACATACATGAAACTAGGGGTGTAAGTGAGCCGAGCCGGCTCGTGAGCAGGCTCGAGCTCGACTCGTTTATGAGCTCGCGAGCCGAGCTTATC